AGCCATGTCGCCAGCCCCTATTTTGAGGTTTGAGTCCCACTCAGCATGCACTGAGAATTCAGAAAGTGGTCAGAACAGCAGCAGGGCACAGGAGTGGTGTGGTACCTGAGGAGACAGCGGCATCCAAAACATGTGCTTCGGAAACACCTGCAGATGCACAAGGTGTGGAAAACTGCCTAGCAGTCAGTGCCAAATAATTTAAAAATATAACCTATACAGAACACGGGACATGTCACTGCCCAGGCTTCAGGGTCTAGCGGTGCCTAACCTGTACCAAGCACCATTCTATGTTTAGAATGATTTTATCTGCCACATACTTTATAGGCTTAGAGATGAAACACTTGACTTCAGTTGAAACTAGTTCTCTCCTTACTGACAGATTTGGAGGTCTATATTTTATTTTCGTGTTATTCAAAAGATGCAATTCTGAGAATGTCTAGGGATTCGATGAAGCTGTCCTGGACATGTCTGGCTGCATCTGTGTCTGGCTATGCATGTCTGGGAATCCATCTGCCTGTGTCTTGAATCCACCTGTATTTCTAGGAGTCTGTCTGCGTGTGACTACAAGTCTGTCTGCCTGTATATCTGAGTGTCTGTCTGTGTGTCTGCCAGCATGTCTAGGAATCTACCTGTGTGTTGTCATCTGACACTAACAAAGAGAGAGCTGGATTTCAGAAGATAAATCTTAGTTACTTCGGAGGAAACTTTTGTTAGAAGCGCGCAGTGCTCCATTTAACTTATGTCATGCTGCTCCTGAGAGCATCCTGCGTGTCAGCCTTTCCGCCCTCCTCAAGGTCTTTCACAGCCTGCCTGTGTGTTCTATGCTGTTTATGAAGGCTTGTTCTGAACTTTACCTCCCACTTTCCAGAAAAATTACCCATATGCTCTATGGTGGTTAATTTTACATGTCACTGTGATTTATGGGATAGGTGGAACTAGAAAAGCTCGGGATGTCCCTGGAGTATTTCTGGAGATTGATGTTGGATGCGGAAGCCTTGTAAGGAAGGTCCATCCATCCAAGTGACTGGGGCCAGACAGAACCTCTCAGTCTCTGTTGTCCGTCTTTCTCTTTCTGTGTCTTCCTGCCTCCACCCACTTCTCCCTCGCTGAGACATCCTTCTGTCTTTGCACACCACACCTCCGGGCTCCGGCCTCTGTACCCAGCACTTACAGTAGCAGCTCCTCCGGGTCCTCAGGCTTTCAGCTGGACTGAGATTACATCATCAGCCCTTGTTGTTCTTTGCACACCACACCTCCGGGCTCCGGCCTCTGTACCCAGCACTTACAGCAGCAGCTCCTCCGGGTCCTCAGGCTTTCAGCTGGACTGAGGTTACATCATCAGCCCTTGTTGCTGAGGTCTTTGGACTTGGGCAGGTCCTATTACTGCCTTCTTGAGTTCTCCAGATGACAGGCGGCCTGTCCTGGCATTCCTCAGTCACTGCCCTCTAGTGAAGCAAGGCCCCTAGTGAGTCCCGTCTTGCATGCAGCATTGCTCACTCTCTGCATATCCTTACCCATGCCCTCTTCAGAGAACTCTGACTAAGCGCCCGCTAGGCAACACCTACTCTATGTCTCACTTAGTGGCACTTCTTTTTACATTTATTGATTGGCTGATTGACTGACTGATTGATTTTATGGGTGTATGGGCCATGATTGATTGATTGATTGATTGATTGATTTTATGGGTGTATGGGCCATGATTGATTGATTGATTGATAGATTTTATGGGTGTATGGGCCATGATTGATTGATTGATTGATTGATTTTATGGGTGTATGGGCCATGATTGATTGATGATTGATTGATTGATGGATGGATGGATTTTATGGGCGTATGGGCCATGGTGCATGTGTGGCAGTCAGAGGATGAGGTGAAGGCATGCAGGACTCAGTTCACTCTGCCCACCATGTGGGTTCTGGGGACAGAACTCAGGTTTTGTCAAGCTTGCCTGCTAGTGGGCTTTCACACTGAGGCATCTTGATGGTCCTTAACCACACTACTTAATCTCCATCTCCTACACATGGCTGCCGTGAGCCTGAGTTTTCACGTGGCAAGTGTTCAGAGCGGGGACCTCTTGCGCACTGAAGCCTGGAATCAATTAAAAGTCACTGTCGCTGCAGTGCCATTCATCTCTAACAGCAGAGCAAACACACGGTGTGTGGGGCTGGACCACTGCACTCATCGGAATGGTGGCCTGTCCATGCCTCCTGAGCACTGCCTGTCTTGCCTCCAAGAGACACAGTGGTCTGCTCTCAGTGCTCCTTTCCCCAGACCCAAGCTCTAACAGGCCTTACTGTCCTACTAGTCTCTTCATCAAAACTCTTCTTTAAAATCATAATGCATGTGAAAAATTAACTGATTCTATTGCTTTTAAAAGACTTCCAGTCTTTGTGAATGGCCATTCCATCGATCGCATTTCTAATTATCAGCTAACCCAGCAGAGGACACGGATGCGCTGCCAGTCAGGAGAGGCCCTTTAAGTCCCTAAATGGCATGCATTCTGAAGCACATGAAGATGAGCTCAGGAAAACCAGGACATGTTGTGCACCTACATGGCCCGTATCTCCCACCTCTTCTCACGGATTGGCGGCATCATAATCAAACAGGACTACAGAGCCTGCCGACCAGCAGCGCACTCAGGCCAGAAGCAGTTTTCAAGCCTATTGACATGCTCCTATGGGCTTAAGTTGTTCAGGAGCAAATCTATTCTGAGTTTCCAGGACCAACACACTTATTTAGACTTAGTAATGGCCAACAGTTAGAGGCCTCACAAAGCCGTTTCATATTAATAATCTTAATCTAGAGAACTTGCGTGTTCTCTAGAAAGAAGTAGAGCCTTCAGGGGAGGGGGGGAGCTGCAACTGTCCAGTGAACTGCTTGGGGTGTTGCACGCCACAGGGTGCCTTCCAGTGGAAACATGCTCAGCACACAGGGCACACTTGCCCAGAAGGCACCAGGTGAGCATCAGAGTGATGGCCATGCTCAGGTGCCCACCCCTTCAGCAGCACCCACATCCGCAGAGCCAGGCCAAGAGCCCACTGGAAGGGTCTGCTGCCATCTTATTCAGGGCCTGTGTCCTGTTCCATCCTTTGGGTTCACACAGACACCTGCTTCAAAAAGCAAGGAGGACCACCTTGAAGAAGACACCATGTGCTCTTCACTCTGAACTGAAGCGATGTTTTAATGACCCAGCAGCAAGTCTTGCTTGGATTCTCAGACTGGGGAGGCAAAGTGGAGAGAGTCAGCATCCTTCAGAAGTCTCCTGTGTTTTCAGAGTTGATCAACAAGAAATGCTTCAGCAAAAAAAAGCAAAATGAGTCTCCCAGAGCCCAGAAGATGCTCTGCTGTACATTCAGCATCCCCAGGAGGGCAAGGCACCCTACCCTGGGAGCATGCTGCTAGCGATACGGCCCAGGACTACAGAAGCACAGGGGACCGGCCTCTGCTGGAGGTCAGCGATGCTGAGCTGAGGAACGGAGAACGGAATCTCATTTCCCAGAGACTGCTTCTATAAGTTACTAAAGTAGTAGCTGAGTAACCCCCATTTGTGGTGACTTGGCTTAATAAAGAGAGTCCTGTCCCTGCACAGACATGGGAGGGGTCAGAAACACCAACCCTACCTGAAAACTACTGGAAACCAATGGCTGTGGGAAGGGGAGAGCCATTCCTTTAGAGCTGGGGCTCTTGGTGGGTTAACCAGGCTCCAGTGGATGATCCACACCAAAGGACACTGGGGATACAAGTTTGACCCTATAGACTTTATGGGTGGGGGGTAGTAAGGGACAATCTTGGCTATGATGGATCTAAAGATGATCAAAATATGTTGTATGAAATCTGCAAAAATCAATTTAAAAAGGAATTTTTAAAGTTTCCTGAGATTTCCCCTAATTTCAATTTTTAATTATTTTTATTATTATTATTTTTTCTGTATTTCATACAGAACAGCTCAAAAACTCCTAATCATCTTTATGCTCCCCCACCCCCACTGGAGCCCATATACTCAGTCATCCCTATCAAGGCCCACTGGGTTGTCAGTGTTCCCAACCATTCCCCAGTGCAAGTCCATCCACTAAGTCTAGTCAGCCTATCTAGAGTCCCTTGTTTTAGGAAGATCAGCTCTTCTTCATCCAGCAGCAATCAGTTGCCAACATTCCTTCAGATAAGATTGAGGTCTGCTGTTATTGTAATGATGTCTTTAAAGGTTTATTAGTCTGTAAATTACCAGATATTTGATTCATTTAAGAATGTATCAATACTGCGGAGGTCACTGCTCCTGCAGAGGACTCGGGTTCAATTCCCAGCATCCACACGGTGGCTAATAACTCTACATAACTCCAGTTAAAGGGCATCCAACACCTTCTTTTGACCTCAATGAGCATTGCACGATGTGGGTGCACTCACATATATGCAGGCAATACACTCATACACATAGAAAATAAAAATAATAAAAAAGTATCAATATAAAAAAGATTACAGAGTTGAGAATATAAACTGAGAATTCAGAATATAAACTGAGCCTCACTGCATTCCTCATGGACAGGGAAGAGCGGCCATGGGCAAAGTGGGAATCTTTCATAATGGTCAGACACTTACATTAAACTGAGCTTTTATCCCAAGCAGAACTTCCCTGGTTAGGGAGAAAACATGAGCTATTACTGTCTTCCTGTGTAAGACTCTCAAATGTGTGCATGCAACAAACAGCAGACAGCACTTTCCCTGTTCGGCAGATACGAAACGCGAGCCCAGTGCGTCACCACGTTACCAGTACACTAACGTCATTTCTTTTTTTTAACAAACTCATATCTTGAGATAAATGCAAATATCAGGAGACATTTTTCTTCATAAGCATCTTAAGGCTCTTCCTAAAATATGTACAGGCAGGGATCACTGCTTGTAGTTCACACAGGACATGTAAATGTGAAAAGGATAAACTGAGTGACCGCAGACAAAAGGCTTCTGTGTGAGCTGTAACTTGGCCGCTGGACACAGCACTTACTTACGTTAGCACAGTGCAAGGCCAGGGCGCAGAAGACGGCGAACATCTTGAAGTTGTTCTCGTCTGTCTTGGAGAAGGCGCTGCCGCTGATCTTGTTCACCATCTGCACCACGCCGATCACGCTGCCACGGCTCACGATGGGCATGCACAGAATGTTGCGCGTGGTGTAGCCTGTGTATAAGTCCACTTCCCTGTGAGAGAGGAGGGAACATTCTATCACCAGATCGCAAAGGCAGGCCTGTCAGGAGCAGTCCCTCATCAGCTGCAACTCAGCCGTGCAGTTTGTGTCCATGTACAAACAGCTGTACGAACTGCACATTCAGGGACAGTGCGAGGTGTGACAGTGTTTTGTTCAAACCTTCTCTAAAACATTCTGTCTTGTTTATAGCAGTTTTCCAGGATGGCCTCCACTAGAGGCCCAGGGCCTACCAACTGTGCTCACAATGTCAGCATCATTAGTGAACAGACAAACAGGCATTTCAGAGGAAAATACATGAAGTCTGGCAGACGACATGTTCCCTTAATTCACTCATGCTGATGAGATGTAACTTGCTAAACCAATTTAAACAGTCTTCACATTGAAAGTGAGAAAGGGGTCAGCAACCACATCCACCACAAGGACAGCCCACCCCTAGCCGCTAAAGAAGAGAAAGCGTGGCCACTTTCATCTGTGACCAGAGTGTGGGTTCATGAAGCCAAAGGATGACCCTGTCCTAACGCGAACCCCCCAGCCCTTGTTATCACCAGCACTCATCTCCGTTGAGTGGACACATCACGTTTTATTTATCCACTCACCAGGAAATGGACAAGGTCACTTGGAGAACTGCAATGGGGTGGCTCGGCAGACATGCGGCCAAGCCTTCGTGTGGACAAGTGATTTCGCTTTTCTTGGTATAATACTAGGAGGCCGCTGATGGAAAGTTTAAACGTTTGAGAAGCTGCACAGCCATTTCCCCAAGAGGCTGTGCTTCCATCACTGTGTGTGACAGCTGCAGCGCAGGCTTTCACAAAGCACCCAGCGTGACGACGCCAGGACATGGACTGACTGCTCACCTCTGAAGACCCTCTAGCAGGACAGGCTGCTCGTCAGCAGCCTAAAAAAAACCGTCAGGTGTGGGTATCTGAATACACTGACTACCGATAAGAGACTGGGAAACAGAGAGCTGAGACTCTCCGAAAGAGGCCTCAGCCCAGCGCGACCTCAAAGGAGAAACGCCAGCACGGAACTGTCTCTTACCGGTTAAAGCGTGGATCCGCATACGCATCTGGAATGTTCAGGACTTCGCCTGTTCTTGCTACTTGGCCAGCAATTCCCTTCTCGATCGAAAATCTGCAGAAACGAAAGAGAGGGACATGGTAACTGAATACCATGTTATGAAACCATTCTGAAATATCTCGTCGACATCCAATATTGAATTAAAGCCTTAGCTTTTCATCCCACAAGGTTCATTTTCAATCTTGATCAGCTACATACAGTCAAGTACTACATAGTGGCATTTCAGTCAGTAACAGTGTCTACAACGGTGATCTCACAACATTACAGAGATAAAAAGCTCCTGCCGTGGAGCTGCTACGACGTCCTGGTACAACTCAAGCTTCTATCTGAGGAGACACTAGAATAAAACTACTGTGCTTTGAGTTCTATCAAAGTGTAACACACACCACACACAGGATCTGACATAATCAGCTCATTTGTGAGACTGCATTATAGTCCTATGCACTTTCCGTTTATACGTTTCAGAGCATATACATGTCCATATATGTAAGCAGACATAGGCATATACATGTGTTGATTATGAAACAGCCTCAGGCCAGTCCTTCAGGAAGGTGCTGCTGCTGCAGTTGACGAGGCTCGGTTTGTGTAACTGGCCCTGAAGACCTTCCGGGGGATGGAATGTGGGGGTAGAAAAGAGTGTGCTGATGGCAACAGTGGTGCTCATGTCCCCAGTTTGTCAGTCAAGGCTAACGCTTGTGTTTCTGTTAGTTTTTTAACAACAAGAAAGCTTTAAAAATCTGAGAATTGTACATTGTAAAGTTTGCAAGCTGCCAAGGGAGAAAACCAAGCAATGGTCCTACCCAGTTGTAATGTCTATGAGCCACAACAATGATGGCCCACCAAATACTCTCTATTGGTACAACGATGCCACTTTTATCTTGGGGATAATCAACAGCTGTAGAATTGGATGTAAGGCCTGTTCACGAGGTGAGATCCATGCATTCTACTGTGAACACAGCCAAGTGCACACGGTTGGAGAGGTCACAGCTCCCAGAGAAGAATCTACCCCATCACTTTCCTAGACCAAGGTAATTTCTTACTATATCCCAAACAGATAGCCTTCTATTCACAGACAAGGGTAACTCCCGCCATTTCTCAAAGTACCTTCTTTTTGCAACAATTGATAGACCGATAGATTGTTACAAAGTCCCACAACTGATCAAAATGGAAAGAGTGTCTGTGCGGTGCCCAGCTCTAAGTGGCACATCCACAATGCAACCTCTACACCTAAGGCTTATCATAGCAGAAGGGACAGAAAGATCGTAAGAGCCAGAGGAACAGGATGCTTGCTGCTAGTTGATGCGTTCTAGACAGGACAGGGAAGCTGCACGGTGACATCCCCACAGTGTGGTCGTCTAACAAGATCTGCATGTGACAAGACCGGTTGACATGCCAATGTGTATGGGGGAAATTTCACAGGGTCTCCCTTCTAAGCCTTATGTTAGATGCACATATTACTTTTACATTTACATGTCCTAAATAACCTTATAAGTTAGGTAAAAAGATATATGAATCCGGAAAACAAAAGTCATTACTTGAAACCATGTTTTAAGACATACTCCATAATATATGAGAATATAATTGAGCACAGACTGAAACAAAATTTTCCAACTGATCTTTTCAACACTAACTAATAGTAATCTCTTATATTGGCAAATCACCATATAAATTGCAATATGCTTCATTACAAATCTTCTTAGTGGATTTTCAACAGAGTGAGGTGAAGTCTGTTGGGTTCACTAACTTCTAGACATATGGTCAAACCCCAGCTATGTCTGGATTTCATGCACACAGGACTTGGACTGTATGCTGTTTGCAACCCAAGGATTACATAGAAATAAAATACAAATACCTTTGCTTCTCTAATTCACTCATTTTTAAAAACAATCAAAACATGAACATCAATTGATACATTTACTCATGTTTTGATAGTATGAGACTTAATGTGCAAATATCACATTAATATTTTTCTCATCATTGCATTATCATCATACATGGGTTCATGTCAAAATTTAGTTAAGAAATGTATTTACAATGAGCACTAAGATTTTTCAGAAACTCAAAAGAGAACTGATACAAGTTAGAATTAAGATATGTGAGCCTGGGGCTGGAGAGATGGTTCAGTGGTTAAGAACAATGACTGCTCTTGCAGAGGACCCAGGTTCGATTCCCAGCACTCACATGGCTGGTAACAACCATCTCTAACTTCAGTTCCAGGGGATCTGATGCCTTCTTCTGTCCACAGGCATTGCATGACACAGGTGCACTTATATACATGCAGGCAACACACTCACACACATAAAATAAAAATAATAAATAATTTAACAAAAAAAAGATATGTGAGCCTGTGGCAGTGGTGGTGTCGAGAGGGGGACCCATGTCAGCTCGATTAAATAAGGGCCCGAAGGGGAGGTGAGAAATGGGTGGTGGGCCAGCACTAGATTGAGAAGTATTTGAGACTGATTGCTGCTGGGTGAGGGAGAATATGACTTACATACGGCCGCTGGATGGGCTGATCAGACTCCAGTGGACACATTTACATTGAAGGACATTTAGGTACAAACACCTGAATGAATAGGACTCAGCATGTATGGCAGAGTGCACAGGGTTCAGTGAGAAGATGAGGAGGCATGGATTAGGAGGGGATCTGGATTTGAGTGAGAAATGTTGTATGAAATTTTAAAAGCTCAATAAAAAATGTTTGGTGTGAATGTACAAAAATTCATTAAAAAATACATTGGAAAAAAGATATCCAAAAAGTGAACCAACATTGCATAAAACTCAACACTGCCATCTTCCTGGATTTCTCATACTTTGACAAGCACAAATGAGATGCACGAGCTGTGCCAGAGTCCATCTGTGATGCACACGTCTCTACCTCATGTGCAAGGTTTGAACGGGACCTTTCAATCAGCTCTGAGCAGAAGCCACAGGTGCGGAGCAGACCCTGGGATGCAGGAGACTGGCTTGCACCAATCCTAAGGCCATGGAGCCTCATTCCCTTAACGTGTGTGCCCGGGCTTCGCTGCTTCCCCAATCAGATCAATACCAGCTTTGATAGGAACACCGAGACTTTAGGAGAAACTAGTTTAGTTAAGTGACTATGTCCAGACTGGAAAGACCAGCTCTACAATCAGACCAAGGAATGAAACAGGTTTAAGACCCCATGTACTTTGACCTTACCATCACCCTAGAAATAGCCCCTGTGGCAAGTCACACTGTGTTCCGTGCTATTAGTTCCCTTACACCGCAGAGTGGCCAAATTTAGAGCAATTCTTAATTAATGAGGACGTGGCGTGTTACCGGAGAATTTTACTTGGGAGGTTAAACCACACACAGAAGCGAAAAGAACGTCAATGAAAAGAACTTCCACTTGTGTCTGTGAGGCGGGATCCCTCCACCTGTCCAGTGCTCCTTGCAGGTTTCCAGGGTGACAGGACTCAACCACCCGGCTCCCAGCAACAGATAAATGCCATCTGTCCATTTACACACACGACAGCGGCTGCCACTCCAAGGGGGAAGGCAGCTCTGGTTTCAAAGCGCACTGAAAGTGACACTGAGTCAGCAACTGGTCAGTTACAGAAGGTGTGTGAGTCATTTCTTTCCTCTGCTCTGGGCTGTCGAGGTCCCCACTGGCTGGGAAGCAGCAAGGGCTGGGCTGGTTGCCGGCACGCTGCTCCCTGGCCAGGAACCTGCGGGCTCCAGCCGAGCGACCTTTACCTACCTGGGAGCACTAGTAAGTTTTTCCAAGTGATTTCCAAAAGGACCGCCTCCGGAAGCCGGCGTTTCCAGGAGTGACGCTAAGGCTTCCTGGGCGGTTGGCCGGCTGCAAAGTCATTCCCAGAAGCACTACCTTCAGGAGGCGGGTCCTGGTGGGAATGATATCACAGTATGACAAGCATTGTCAGCACTCCTGCGAAGAGGCACAGAAGAGCGGGTGACGGAACACTGTATCTGCCACAGGCCAGGCGGCCGCGCTACCTGATCTCCTTGGTCTTCTTGAAGACCGGCTTTCCTTCCTTTTCCTCCCCAATATCGAACAGGTCTGAGTACAGCTCCTTGTTCTTGTGGTCCACCTGGAACAGGGCACAGCGGTCGGCGTTCACTAGGTTTTTTGCATATATCTGGAAGACAAATGAGAAAAGCCGGAGTAGGCCAAGGGGAGACGGATGGATGCTCTGATTAGGAAGGACAGAGGCATTACGAATAACGGAGCACTGGTACCAAACGTCGTAAGTATGATGTGTAAGGAGCTGTGTGCTAATCCTGGAAGATAACTACACAAACGAACAGCTGATATACTCCACGGCTGCGCTGACGCTGAGATACCCCAGCACATTCCTGCTGGGAGTCACACAGCTGTCGGCCTTCCTTCCTCCAAGTCCTGAAACCCTGAGCTCCTGTGAGGAGCTTCCCAGGATGCTCATGGTGCCTTGGGCTGAGTCTCGGTCAGCACCACGGCCAGCACCCACTGACCAGGTGGAGTCTAGAGTGACTGAAGAGTATCAAATAAGCCAGGTGTGGCGGCTCACACCTTTAATCCCAGCACTCAGGAGGCAGAGGCAGGCAGATCCCTGGGAGATCAAGTCCAGTCTGGTTTATGTAGCTTGCTAAGTCAGCTAGCTACATAGTGGGATCATGCCTCAAAAATCAATCAATCAATCAATCAATCAAATAACAACAACCAAACAAAATGGACATAGATGCGCTTTGCTACTGCCATAGCCGAGTTCCGGTGCTGAGGTATCTGATAACTTGTTAGTTATTGGATTCTAACCATATGCTAAGCACAAATATGTTTCGTGGACATTCGTAACAGTATCATATCAGAGGAAACGTTCACTGTACTTTATATATTAGGGAGACTCGGGCTCTGAGAGCAGCCTGGCCTGTCCCGCTATCCCAGGCCTGGCACGTGGTTGGTCTACAACCAAACTCATACTCATGGTCCCCACGGCCCACGCTTTTATGTCAAATGTGCTTTTCCATTCACAGTGGCAAAATGTTCGTTCATTTCATCATTCACCTGTTCATCCGTTTCCTTTCACAAACATTTCTTTAATGTTCAACATCTCCAACTGCCCTTAGTGGGCTGGGAGTATAGTTGTGTCATAAACAGAGTATTTACATGTATCAAAAATTCTGGGGAACTGGAAAGATGTCTCAGTGGTTAGAGGTGCATAACTGCTCTTGCAGAGGACCCATGTTTGGTTTTCAAAACCCATGTTGGGCAGTTCATAACTGCCCATAACTCCAACTCCAAGGGACTTGACGTCCCCTTCTGACCTCCTCGGGCACTGCACTCATGTGCTCACCCCCCCCAACACACATACACATTTAAAAGTAAACAAATAAGAGCGATTTCTGGAAACTTCAACCATCCAGATCTTAACTATGAAATTATTATTCATGAAAATAGCTCTCAGAGCAAAACAACCATCACAAAATCTTTTCAAGAACACCGTGGGCCACGTGCGGTCTGAGGAAAGTAAAGAACCTCACATCAAACATAAACGCGATAAATCAGACCAGGTGCCATCCTTGTCCTGTGCTTACTGCCATGATCCATCTGCCCTCGCTCAGCGGACACTGGCTGTGCCTGGGACAGAGGGAGAGAGCTACCTTATCCTGTGCTTACTGCCATGATCCATCTGCCCTCGCTCAGCGGACACTGGCTGTGCCTGGGACAGAGGGAGAGAGCTACCTTGTCCTGTGCTTACTGCCATGACACTCAGCGGACACTGGCTGTGCCTGGGACAGAGGGAGAGAGCTACCCTAGCGCTGCCCAAGAGCACGGGGGCTTTGGGCCCCTTCTGGCCACTGGGCTTTCTGTGCCTGGGGTTCTCAGGGTGGAGGATGAGTCTATGGCTCCCAGCACACTGGACGCCAGGGTTCTCAGTCTAGGAAACTACAGAACGTTCAGGCCTAGGAGCTGAGGATGTAGCTCAGTTGGTAGGGCACTTGCCAGGCATGTGTGAGGCCCTGGGTTCCATTTCTAGCAACACACACACACACACACGCACACACACACACACAAAGCTGTGTTCTAAATGGATACAACTCTCAGCACAAGAGCACGGGGGCTTTGGGCCCCTTCTGGCCACTGGGCTTTCTGTGCCTGGGGTTCTCAGGGTGGAGGATGAGTCTATGGCTCCCAGCACACTGGACGCCAGGGTTCTCAGTCTAGGAAACTACAGAACGTTCAGGCCTAGGAGCTGAGGATGTAGCTCAGTTGGTAGGGCACTTGCCAGGCATGTGTGAGGCCCTGGGTTCCATTTCTAGCAACACACACACACACACACACACACACACACACACAAAGCTGTGTTCTAAATGGATACAACTCTCAGCGGTGAGGCCAACCCATTCGGCTTGTTTAACCTGCCAGAGTCACTATCTCTAGCTGTCCTCTGCCCACCTTCAGAGCCAGCTTCCAAAATCAACCAAGGTTAACAGCAAGGGATAGTGGGGGTGGGGTGGGCACATTTATCTAAACTAGGAAGAAATACTGATTGATGTGCTACTTCCATTTTATTTTCAAAAAATTTATGTGCATCTGTGTGTCAGTATGCACATGTGTGTGCAGGTGCACACCCAGGCCAGAACAGGGGGTCTGATCCCCTGGAGCCGGAGCTGCATGCAGTTATGCGCCACCCATTGCGGGCGCTGAGACCCAAACGCGGGTCCTCTGGGAGAGTAACAAGTGCTCTTCAGCTCTGGGCCATCCCCCCAGACCCCCTTATTCACATGTGCTCGTTTTTATTTACAGTTTGGGACTTCAGCTGTTTGTTCTAACTGGCCGGCCACCTGAACAGCCTTTTCTGACTGTCCTTTCTTTGTTCCTACCTGCTCTATAATATTTCTCTATCCTTTCTCACCTTTAACCCACACCCTTTCCCTCTGGCCCATCTTCACCCTTTTGTTTCCCGTCCACACTCTTTTCACATGGTGGCTATTAAGACCCTCGCCACGCCAGGGACACAGGTGAAGCCCACGCAAGCCTGACACCGTGTGTTGTCACTGAGTGCGTTGCCCAGCCTCCTCCTAAACAGCAGTGGAGACCATAAACCCAAATGAAGACAGCTCACCAGGAGACTCACAGAAAACAAGCGAAGTGGGAGAGCGAGGCCTGAGGACGCTCCATCCCAACAGACAGACCGAACACAACGAAGAGGCAGAAAAGCACGGGAAAACAAGCCACCGCCAGGATGACCCCCGCACAACTCCCAGCCCCAGACGGTGCAGACCGAAGACCACGAGGCGGCTCAAACGCCAGGAAAATATTTCCGGGTCTGCTTTTAAACATGATCAGCAATTCTATGCAGGACTCAAGTCAGCAGACGACCAGGACAAGACAGCTAACAAGGCGGGTGAAAGGTGTGCAGTGCGGAGAACAAAGTCAAACACACGGAAGGAAAATTCAAATCGAAAATAGATTCTGGAAAAGAGCCCGAGAGATGCAGGAATAAAAGTCAGCCAACTAAATAAAAACACCATGGAGAGCATCATGGACAGACAAGACTGAGCAGGAGAAAGAGCATGAGGGGTGGGGCACAGAGGCAAGCACACACAGACAAACAGGAAGAAAAACGAGTGGGCGTGACCAACTTCCAGAACTCTGGGATAGCAGAGCTAACACCAAATCTAAAGACAGAGACGATCTAGTCACTGAAATCTCAGCAGGAAGTTGCTCACCACACCCACTGGCTTTTCAGGAGAGGAACGATTAAGACTTGATCCAAGTAGAATGAACTGTAGGATCAACATGAATCAAGTAGGGATCCCTCAGATGAATAAATGCTTCGTAAAGCTCCCTAAGACGCCCAGATGAATAAGGGCTTTATAGATTATAAGGAGAAACCAAATCTTTCTAAATACAACTATTTTTAAAAATATTTTATTATTATTTTATGTGTATGAGTTTATTATCTGCATATATACAACTATTTTTTAAATGCCATTCAAAATTCCTTCCCCAAAATTTCAACAGGGCTGAGGAACTGATCAAAGAGGGTTCCAGGGCACCATGTGTTTACAACATTTGAAAAAGCTTGTTCCTCCAACACACACAAAACCATGTCACAGATCAGAACCAAGAACATAGGGTTTAAAGGCAATCTCTGTCAGGCTGGAGAGATGGCTCAGTGGGCTAAGAGCACTGGCTGCTCTTGCAGAGGACCTGGGTTCAATTCCCAGGACTCACGTGGCAGCAAACAACCATCAGTAAGTGCAGTTCTAGGGGGATCCGACACCCTCTTCTGTTCTCTGTGGGCATTGTGTGACACGGGTGCACTTACATACAGGCAGGCATGACACTCATACACATAAAATAAAAATACATAAATCAAAAAAAATTTTAAAAAGACAATCACTGTCAAAAGTAAAGGACACCTACCATGATGTGCTCAAGGAGAGAGTCTATAGCGACTATGTTATCAAAATATGTCCTGGAAAACAAAAGAGAATCCTGTGAGTCATCTTACTGATACCAGAGCCCAATCCTGTGAGTCATCTTACTGATACCAGAGCCCAATCCTGTGAGTCATCTTACTGATACCAGAGCCCAATCCTGTGAGTCATCTTGTGTGTGGTATGGGATTCTACATTTAAGTAAACATAAATATGCACGTCACTTGTTTTCTAGCCTCTTATGGAAGCAATACGCATTACTAAAAGTGAATGAAATGTTGTCAGGGCCTCAGCGCTCAGGCTCTAACTCCAGCAGGTGCATTCAGTAATTAATATTGCTCAATCCAAGAGAGAGAGAAAGCCAGGGGCTGTGATGGGAGCACTACAGGACCGAATCAGATCAGCCACACGCATTCTCATGAATGGTCTAGAATAAGAATCTTTAAATTGATTAACTATCACCAATATGACTAGACTGAGTAATCAGAGCACTGGAAAAGGCAGGAGCTGAAGTGGACTGAGAAGAAGGAGATTCACGAGCGTATCAGTCGTGACCAGGATGTCACAAACACGTCAGTGAAACACACTCCCCCGGCTGTGAATGGTAAGTGTGTTTGGAGGCATGTGAGGTGTTTGCTGAGACGTAATCCTCCCCCCAAGATGAACTAACAGTCAGGTATGACAGAAAACCGTAAGAAGGCACGCAACCTGGGCGTCCTGGCTGTGCGAGCTTTCAGTTTAGTTCGTGTAAATTTGTCAGCGCTCTCTCAGTTAACAAGATTTGCCATCATAAATAATGAATTTTATTTAAAAGACAATGACTTACTTAAAACCAGTGAGACCTGGGCCACACTTCCTTCATTGCAAGCAGAAGCAGCACTGGAGGAGGAATGTGGGGAGGAAGTGAGCTTCCTTCCGGTGCAAAAGGCCAGGAGGCCATGGAGTGTCAGGGAGCAGTTAGCTGACTTCGGACCACTTCCAAAATATTCAAATGTATCTACAGAGAGGGACCAAGTCTCCTTTCTAGGTGCTCTGAAGTCAAGCAGTGGTGGGACGCAATCACGTTTGACAGGGTTTAACTATTTGAAGGCACAGCTGGCCAAGTGACCAGAACTGCTTCAGCTCCACAGGCCTCTACTTTCAGGTTCAAAAAAACAGCTGCGACATAACCTGTAATTCCAGTCTGGGTATTCAGGAGGCTTTGGTGTGTGCTGGTGGGGGACGGACTACCACTCTGGGGATGTGAGGGGCCAGCACCCTCCACAGGGCTACTGCGAGCCAGGGAAGAGGAGTGCTTCCCTCCCTTACGAAACTGTGGGAGGACATGACCCAGGTGACCGTGTCCTGGGTGCTTTAATATTTCAGTGATTATTGAGGTAGGCTAAAGAGATAGCACTCAAAACCAACCCAAACCCAGAGTTTAATAAATATCATGGCTTTTACTACCAGCTCAAGAGAGATGTTTAAGGTTGAGCTTGAGAGAAATGGGCGTTCAATGTCACACTTGAGATACTCCACAAAGAAATGTAAAATGGCATTGCTAATGATACTGTTTAAAGTGACACTTAGAAAATTCCAGAGCACATCTTAGAAAAAGTTAACAAGCGCACATTCTCTCCCAGTGGATCAACCGTCTTCAAAACTACTTTTTAGTGGGCTGGAGAGAAGTGGCTCAGTGGTTAAAAGCACTGGCTGTCCTTGCAGAAGACCTGGGTTCAAATCCCAGTACTCACAGGGTAGCTAACAACCGTCTGTAACTCCAGTTCCAGGGGATTCAACGCCCTCTTCTGTCCTCTGTGGGCACTGCACGACACAGGTGCACTTACTTGCAAGCAGGCATAATGCTCATACACACAAAATTAAATTTTTTAAATTTTTGAAAATTATTCAGTACATGAGATACGTTACAGGGGGTTTTAGTTACAAAACAAACACCAAATTGAAAATTAAGACCACCACATATACACCTATAAGCTTCATCAAATAAAGTGAGCATGGAGAAAGATGTCATTCTATAGTCCAAAATATGAGTAATCATTCTTTCCAGATGGCATGTATAATAAAGATTGGTTTAGTGCAATCTTTGTTGATTAGTCCAGTTTGATCAGCTCCCAGCTGCAGCAGATGGAGGGAGGTCTATCACCAGTAGGTCTCACTCCCATCACTGATCAATAAGGACAGCGAGCGCCCCAGACAGAACACTTACTTTGATACATCAAGTAGAAAATCATTCAGCTCAGTCTGCTTGGCAAGACCCCTGCACACCTGCCGTATACAAAGGTGGTATTGATCATTACAGAGCTCTGCTAACAGGGGAACCAAACTTCAGAACATGGTTAGCAACACAATCACCACTAATCATCATCAATGACATTCCTAGAGTACTGTTCTAAGAGCCTTACATCATTATTTCATTTAATCACCGCATAGCTCCGTAGATCTGAGATAGGCCCTCCCTAACTTAGGTACTAAGAGACTGAGAAACTCAGTCAGAACCCAGAGTAAAAGTGCTAGAGCCAGCCCTCAGACCCAGACTGTCCACCCAGACTGCTTTCTGCCCCTCCGTTGCATGTTCAAACCCTGTAGTTCGGCACATTCTAATGGCCCAAGCACACCTATTCACGCTAGCACCCTGCAGGTCTACTGTCACGCACTTCCCCATCGGCCTGAGGCAGAACATAAAAATACACAAGCATTCGTACTTGCAAGAGATTTGAGGCAACTTGCAAGTGACTATAAGGGTTCATAGTTGAAACTGCTCAGATACAAAATGCAACATTCCAGGGTGAAGCTTGAGGCTCCTTGTTAACCGCAACTGCTGTCCCTGGCCCTCCCGCACTCTCAGCACACCCCAGAGCACCCAGACTCACCTGCACCTGGTGGATGGCTACGGAAGCCCAGGCAAGATTGGCTGTTGCCACCTACAAAACACACATGCACACCAAGCCAGCTTTGTTAGGCACTGTCCTGTTCGCTGCCTCCTTGAGACCCCAGGATGCCAGCCAGCCCCCGGATCCTCCTGCCCACCCTCCCCAGCACTGATCACAGACACGTCTCACACACTTGGCCTTTTCGATGGGTGCTGAGGCTCAAAGCTGGAGTCTTGTGGTATGCCACCTGGGCCATCCCACCCCCATCAGCTCCTATTCTTCGTCTGTTACTGTTTTACTTGGGGGGTTCTCGGCTGGGCACGCAGTGCTGGGGACAAGACTGGAACTGCTTTTAGTGTTCTTCAGGGAAGGGAAGGCACACACGGCAGGAAAGCAAGTGTGTGCTTCAAGTAGTGTACAGGACAGTGAGGGGTGCCATGATGGCACCCAGTAGGACAGCAGGAAGCGGGGCCCAGGCTCCCAGAGAAGATGACTTCAGGGCAGGTGGTGTGAGGGGATGGGGCTGCACTCCACACAGCAGAAGAGCAAGGGCAAGAGTTCTGCCTAAGACTATAGGGTGGGGGAAGTATATGTATATGTGTGTGGGGTCAGGCCACTGGACGGTCCTGGCTCCTCCAGCAAGCCAGAGTATATCACTGCAGCATGTGGGTTTGGTGTTACAGAGCTAACTCTAATTCAGTGAAGAGAGACTAAGCCAGAGCCTGCCCAGTGCACCCGACACTGGAACCTCCTCCGAGGATACATCCAAGAAAGAAGACCTCAGTCAGGCTGGAGAGATAGCTCAGCAGTTAAAAGCACTGGCTGCTTTTACACAGGACCCGGGTTAGATTCCCAGCACCCACATGGTGGCTAACAACTGTCTGTAACTCCAGTTCCAGGGGATTCAACATCCTCTTCTGACCTCCATGGACACTGCATGACATGGGTGCACTTACATACATGCAGACAATATACTCACATGCATAAAATAAAAATAATAAAATAATATTTAAAGAAAGAAAACATCAGACAACCACCATGTAAAAGCTCTTAAGATCCTCCACCGCTTTGCTTGGTAAACACTAGGGCATATTTTTGGCTAAGATGTTTTCATACACACAAAAAAGGGGTATTTCTAATTTAATCAGTCTCCCCTATAAACAACCGCACAAGTGAAGGGATTTGAAGGGCAGCAGTGCTCATCAGTGAGGAAGAGCTGCCCGGGGCCCACGAGCTGCCTGCTCACCTCCTGATGACTGAGGGAGAAGGCTTCTTTGCCCCAGTGCCTGTATAACTCAAGAATCCCTATCAAGTCACCAATAGCAGTGACTATGGGCAGGCACAGCACAGACTGGATTCGCGTCCCCGATTCCAGGCCGGTACCTCTTGGAAATCGCTCATCCTGAAAAGTAAACGGGGGGAAAGATGTGAACGTCAATGCATCTTTGAATAGCACACCCTTGGTGAGTAGAGGACGACTGTCTGTCTGATGTGTTGATAAGAACAGTCTCCATAAAGCCCACCATTCCTTCATCACTGCCTCAGCCAGAGCTGACCCAGGTTCCACAAGTACAACAGTGGGAACCACGTGCAGGGTGTGCTAACTGGACACCAAGGGCCCACACAACCATCCACATAACCAGGGACCAATCATTCATCATTATAATCATTTCTAAGCAAAATCTCTGAAAGCAAGCACAGAGAGTGAATCAGTATCAAAAACACCAATTCTCCTTTCCCTTCTCTTCACTAAAGTAACTAATCTGTTCTAAGTAACAGCATCATCGGTAAAAACAAACTAAACCCAGGTATCACGCCTAGTTTAGCACTTTCACGGAGCCGACTCCTCACATGGAGGTTCTGGCTTGCATTTGTCACTTGTGGTGACATTCCACCAAACGTCTGTGTGCACACACTGTGGAGGACCCCACTGAGGTGCCATTTGTCACCTCTCTGGCAGCCACACCCTTTCTGGTATGCTCCATCATTGCGGAGGCTCAGCTGGGGCTCAGGTGTTCCTGTGTCTGCTCTGCTGTTGTGGCAAATGGGAGTGGGGAGTGAGAGGCACACACAAACCTGGGTCCCCATGGCCAGCCGCTCCTACTCATGGACAGCTGACCTCTGTCTTACGGGTGGCCAGAAGCCTATGGCCCACCTCAGCAGGACAGCCTGAGACTCCCGAGAACTGACCAACAGTACTGCAGGGCACCACGCAGACCTGGGCAGTCAGTCCTACAGCTGACATGAAGCTCCAAACAGGCACTGACTACTTTACACAGATACAAAAACATGTTTCCATGTTTAACCATGTTGGCATGTGTTGAATAAGGCCTCTTACATCTAGCTCATAGGGAGCATACAAGTTAAAATTCTCTGATAATAAAAATTAATCTCTATACAAATCCACATATTGCTCTATCTTGGTTTAGTGCCTTCATAATTATTTCATAAAATGGATGCCAGTTTAATGTGATGTGGTTCATAAAATAGTTATGAAAGAGCCTAAATGATAAGATCAAAATAATATGTCATCTTTCTTAATTAAGTGAACAGTTAATAAATGTTAGCCCTGAAGGCCCCTTACCCCAAGGATGTCCTCTACGAGCAGCGTTTTCCGAGACTTGGCCACGTAAGCAGAGATGGTGGTGCCCTGGGTGATGGGCCCTGCGGGGATGAGCCTGGGCTGGCCCTCCTTTATCCCAGGTGGTCTGAACACGCACAGACTCTAGGAGGAATAGGAGACACTTCCTAGGTTCTCCTCTGCCTTTGCCCAACAGAGAAAGACCCTGAGACATTACCGAGAGGCCCTGCAAGTCTGGGAGCCAATCACAGGGACACCTGGGGCGAGATAGGGAGTTTCCAGACTGGAGCGTGTGAGGGAAGTGAAGTGTATCCTACTTCACGCCAAGCACGGGTCTGAAGTCAGACTTCACAGAGTCCAGGCAATAGATCAAGCTAGCCTCCTTTTCTGAGAGAAGGGAAAATGATGTACCCTGACCCTGGACTCCAGACCGTCACGGCACCAGCTGCCAGTCAAAGGGTGAAACTGTACCTTCGCTTTCATTACCGTATTTCCTCCTGGGAACTTTGTTTCTGAGACCCCGTTGCTTGTTCCAGTGCAGAGTCGGAGGAACAGCGGATTCGGAGTACTATGAATTAAAAATGTGCTGTTCTCTGCAAAATCATGACTAATCAGTGATTTCCCCTCTCAAATGACTCAAGGGCAGAGGAAGGCTGTTGGTATATTTTAACTAATCCACTCAAAAAATATCAGGATCAATTATTTTGACAAAATTAAATCATATTTTAAATTATTTCATACTAAATAAGAAATTCTAAATTATTTCCTAATTAACAGAGTTGTATCCTGATTATCTACCCGTTTGAAACTGTTAAATAGGTTCAGGGAAAACCCACTTACTTCCATGTTAGATGGGACACTGTAACTTACCGCGAGCCCACAACCCCAGCAGTTCCTACCACCACCAAGGTGGTGCGAAGTGTGGCACTGGGGCAAACACTTTATTAACCTAGCCCATCGATGGTTTTCAGGCTTCACGCTATCGGGCAGCTCTTCCTACACATCCTGCAGCCTTGGGAGTAAGAGCTGTAGGAGTCTGAACACCTGCGCTAAGTCACCAGGGAGGAGGACGCTGCGAGCTCAACTTTGCCTTGATCCTGGCAGTTCTAAAGAAAGGGCTAGAAGCTGTATTCGAGGGTGTGTTCCCAAGCACACAGAATAGTTAACACTGTGCTCAAAGCATATTTACCACTGGACCAATGCGTGTGAAAGACAAACTTCAATGGTTTTCTTAAAAAAGATGAAACTTTATACATGTAAGTGCAAGCGTGTTGTACACTCAGAGACTAAAGCAGGTGTGGTGCCAAAGGGGAGTTCATGTTTCAAAAGGCTGGAAGACCGCACTTATCTTTAAAAGGCTCACTGGCATGTATTAACTATCCATAGTAATGGGTTTCATTATGACATTTTCCTCCATGTGTAGGGTGTGTTTTCAACACACTCACCAGGCGTCATCCTCCCATCCCCCTCCCACTCCAGCAGATCCCCTCTCCTCTCCGCTAGTTCCATTTTCCATTTTTATGTCCTTTTCCCCCTTGGGGATCCAGTGAGTTTACCTCTAGGATTGCTTACAGGGTTGTGGGTAAGGGGCTATTTACAGGGGCACAGGCAACTTATCAATGACTACGCCACTGAAAGTGTCTCTCCCTCAGCAAACGGTAACTGCCTATCCATCCTCAGGGAGGGGCAGAGAGTTTCATGAGCCCCTTGTCTCTGGCAATCCCTAACTGCCTGTAAATCCTCCAGGAGCTGGCCAGACCTTGTGAGTGCTGACAGGCCCAACTCTGCAGGTCTAAGGCAGGAAGCATAGCTGCTGAGGGGTGGCGTCTAAACACCATGCCAGGCCCGGAAGGGACCGTCCCACAACACTCCCCCACATCCTCCAGCTCTTCCATTCTTCCTGTCCCCTCTTCCACCATTTCCCTGAGCCCTGAAGGGGTTGACATGGATGTCTCGTTTAGGGATGAGCACTCAACAGTCACTTCCTCTCAGCACTATGATTCATTTTGAGTCTTTGCTTAATGGCAAGAAGAAGCTTCTGTGATCAGCAATGACAGAGACCCTGAACTATGGGATGAACACATATTTAGAAGGCAGTTTGATGGGCACATTCTGTCCATTTAGCAAAACAGTGGCAGCGGTGGCAGCCGCTTCCCCACTAGGGACAAAGACCTCCTGAGCTATGGGCTTTGACCAGGTTTACAATCCCAAACATGAATCTGCCTCCTGTGGAGCAATTATCAAATCCAATCAGAAAGTAGTTGGCTAGCGCCATAAAGCCGCATCGCTACTGCATCGGTGGGTGCGTGCTGCCTAGCAGGTTGATGGCGGAGCACGCAGGGTCCACAGCCGACAAGACAGCTGAAGCCAGCTGTCCCCACTGTGAAGGCTAACAGGAAGCTCCCAACTCAGCCTAGGCTTGATTTCTCCATGTCATACTACCAGAGGATGTGGTGTCATCAGCCATGGTGTCTTCCCACCATTCTTTTAGTGGGAAGCCAATGCCAGTGGCAATAGCCTGCACTGTTCTGGGGCCTTATGGGAGGGGACCCTCCCTCACAGGGAGGCAGCTCACCTGGAGGTACCCCTGTTTTTAAACTTACCATAGTTCTATGACTCACTAAGACATACACAGCACCCAGGAAGCAAGGCCCCCATGAGCTTTAGAATTAACACGTATAAGTCAGTTGTCACCTCCTCACACTGAGGGAAAAAAGTAGAAAAAGATGGAACAAGATGAATTCTTTTTAATTAAAGGCTACAGCGGATTTGCCACAAAGAAAAATCAGAATAGACTGTGACTTTTTCAAACTTTCCTCTTCTCTACCAAGGACATAATGGCAGGGAATGAACTTAACCTGAGCTGAGTCAAAGAATGTGCTCTGAACAATAACAGAAAGAATGTTCTGGAGCAAGCTTCCAAATTAGCTTTGGATTTTCTACTTGGTTTGGCTTAGAGTTGTTCTGTTTATCTGAAGACACACTATGTGTATATTTTTGGATGGCTTAGAAATTAGCCATTTACCACAAGTTTAATTATGTCATCAAGTTATAAAGCCCAGAATTCACTAATGGAAATCCATCTCGCACTCTCCTGTATATTTGATGTTATAATACACTCATTGCCTCCATGGAGATGCCTATGATACAAAAGCAGCAGGCAAGCCGGGTGCACAGAAAGCCACCCAGAGATGAGCCTTGCTGAAGGAGGGCAACTCAGGAATCATTCAATTATTTGCTCAGATTTGAAAATCTCCATGGAGATGATTAGGAAAAGTAAATATTTCTTTACAGTGGGAACACATACTTACTTCATTAAGAACTTTGTGATTTCCGTTTATATACTCATAAAACAGAAATTTTCCCAATGGAAACCCCAACAAAATCATGAACGCCCCAGTAGGAGAAAGCCAGGAGCTCAGCAGGCGGAGGCAGGCTTGTGTCCACAGCTGCACTCCTGGCCTCTGTGTGAGAAGATTCCCCTTGTCTTCTGTTTACCATGCATGTATGTGAGGGGGTGTGCCATAGTGCATGAGTGGAGGTCAGAGGACAATTTTCTGGAGAGGCCTTTCTCCTTCCACTCCTGGCCTCTGTGTGAGAAGATTCCCCTTGTCTTCTGTTTACCATGCATGTTATGTGAGGGGGTGTGCCATAGTGCACAAGTGGAGGTCAGAGGACAATTTTCTGGAGAGGCCTTTCTCCTTCCATGTTCATATGGGTTCCGGGGCTTGACCTCAGGACATCAGGCTTGGTGGCAAGCCCCCTGACCCTGAGCCATCTTGCCCGCTGGCCTCCCCCACTCTTTTTAACTCAACGCACATCACCTCTTCCCAAGCTCCCTTCGTTTGGGATTAATGGTCATTCACTGATGGGAATTACAGCTTTGGGAACAGCACGGTCTCCATGACATCTCAGAGTTGCATGAAGTTAAAAGAAGTTGTTATTGCAAAAGAAAAAGCCAACCAAGAACTTCTGCGCACAGGCTGAACTTGACATACACCCAGTGATGGGAAGCGTTCACTGCATCTGAGCACTGTCCTTCCCCACTGATTTCCCGGATCTTCCAGTCTGCCTGGATCTGCCATGCACCTTTAAATTCTGCGTCACTGGTTTCATTTGTGTTTTAATTACTGCAAATTTACATTCTGCCTGGGCACTGGGTAAGGCAACTCTTGCCCGAGTTCTTAATATTTAACAGTAATAACTGTTTTATCACATACTCTCTGCATTCTTCCCTGGTGGTACATTAATAAATGATGGGTGCTGAATAAATATTAAACAAATTAACAAAGGTAATGGAGATTTTATTTTTCAAAATCAATACAATTTTTTAGCTAAGTATATGACTACTCATATTAATGATAGGAAAATACTATATTCATTATTTTTGTACAAGGATAAATGTCACAGATGACATTTTATGAAGTATCGCTACTACAGTGCACGTATTTATAATAGCTAACTTGTAAGATTCAGTGTTAACTCTCTAAAATAAATTCCCACTCTAATTTTGCATAACTCTAAACAACTTTTATTAGTGCAAGCAAATTTTAGAGACTAGAAATCAAAACTACATTTAAAAACAAGGGAATGGTCCAATGCTCCTAACTTCAACTCCCTCTGTCTTTTCCAGGACAGGAGTGAGCTGCCCTCAGGGCCCCTTGACAGGGATACTCTGGCTCTCAACTCTAGTAACTAGACCTCCAGAGGTGACCCAAGTCACAGGCCACCTGCAGGGGAGATGCAAAGCTTAGCTCAAAGGCCAGGAAATGCAAGCAGATGGATTGGCTTTCAATTAGAAAATCATTATGAATTAAACAATATCTGCGCAATAAAAGCAAGCATAAATGTATGTATTGAACGGTCACTTAAACTAGACAAATTAGCCATGGTTAGCAGGCTGGGTTCAATGAAGGGATTAAAACACATTACAATGATCAAAAACAAACTTGGAGAAATATGTTTTATGGAAAATTGACAAGAGAACAGACTAATACAATTAATAGACTAATTATTAAACTAACACAATTTATAAAATATAATACCATTTAAATGATGGGGAAAACCTGACCTGCTGATATCAACCTTCGGACCCATGTGTTTCACACAGTAAACACACACTTCAAAAATCACCTCATCCATGA